TTATTCTAACTCGCATTGCTTTTCATTGCAGTTTTGAAGGTTCCACTCTCCCTATTATGTGTCTGTGTTTAATTGTGCTTCCACTGGTGCACGAGAAGACTCGACTCCACACAGCCTTCTCCTTCCATGCTCTGCCCTTTTATCTCACCCGTCTCTTCTTCCCTTGGCCTGGAACGTTCTCTCCATCTCCACTCCCTGGAGTCCTCCTACTCCTTCCAATACCACTACTTCCATCACCTCTCTTCTGACCAGCTCTCTAAGTGTGGTCTCATCCCCACTCTGGGCCTATATAAGTCACACTGCTGCATTTAAAAGCAATTATCCCAAAACCTGGTGGTTTAAGACAACACTGAACGTTAACGTGCACAGATTCAGCGGGTCAGGCACTTGGGAGCAGCCGGGCTGGATGGTTGCACAGGGGATCTGAGGTTAGGGACGAGATGTCAGCCCAGGCCACGGTCCCCCAGGGCTCGCCTTGGACGGGGAGGCAGGGGGGGCCCTCTTCAGAGACGACTAACTCAGGGACTAACTCAGGGGGCTGCGAGCCGCTGCTGGCTGCTGGCAGGAGGCCTCAGGTGCTTGCTGCGGCCACTTCTCCGCAGGGCTGCCTGAGCTTCCCGGCAGTGTAGCTACTCACTGTCCTCCGTGCAGGTGACCCCCGGAGAGGGCACAGGAGGAAACCGCCATGGGTTTTCTGATCTGGTTTGGAAATCACACATTTCTCCGTCTGTTTTTTCCCCATTGTGGCACAGGTCAGCCCCCTGATGTGTGGAAGGGAGCCATGTGGGTACCAGCAGGCGAGGGTCCCTGGGGAGTGGGCTGAGGCTGTAGACCACCCAGCCTGTGAGCTCTCCACATCAATAATGTACCTTAAAATATCCTGCCCTGTCCATCCATGTTTGGTGCCTCTCCTGCCCACTTGATTAGATTTTTACTTCCTCTAAAGCAGGGGTGTCAACCTCATCGTCACCAGGGGCCACATCAGCCTCACATGGCCTTCAAAGGGCCGAATGTAGTGTTAGGACTGTGTAAATGTAACCACTCCTTAACCAGGGGCAAGGAGCTCGGCACTGCCACTGGGTAGAAACAAGGTGCCGGCCCGATAAAACAGGGTGGAGGCCAGATGTAGCCTGCAGGCCTTGTGTTTGCCACCTGTGCTCTAGAGTTTCGACGCGCTGCCTTCTCTTCACACATCTAACAATTTCTGGGGCATTGCATTCCCTGCATGACACGCTCAGCTGGTACGTTGGAACCACAGCCTCTCTTTTATTGGGTAGAAACGAAGATGCCCATGTGAGAAGGAAAGAGACAGAAAGACAGGCGGTTTGGCAGGCGTCTAGATGCAGCCGAGACGGAGAGGAGAAACAGCGAAGGGGAGAGCGCGCTGGTGGAAGTGCACGTTCATCGTGTGGGTGTGAAGCACTGCTGCTGCCCTCCGACACCAGGTTCACGGTCGTTCGCACGTGCAGACCTCTGTGCAGCAGTCCTGTGCTTTGTGAGATGTATGTGACTGGCGGGCCGTGTTCTCTGCCGAGTTCCGCCCGATGTGCTGTGAACAGAGGGCGCAGGGGTCAAGTCGTTGTTTACAGATAACTCTTCCGTAATGTCAAGTGCTGCATTTACGAGGCCTTTTCCACATGACGGAGAACTTTATGTAACCTTTGCTTCACCACTCAGTACCCTGGCTCGCTGGGGTAAAATCATTTTCTAGATTGATCCATTAACATTTATATATAATTTGAGCAAAGGGCACAGAGGACTGTCGGGAGGAGGAAAGACCCGTGAGAAGGGACATTCTGGCCTGTTCTCCTCAGAAATGTCACTGCTATCCATCCCCTCGTTTCCATTCCTGACACCACCAGCGCACCACCGCGACGTCCCTTAGTAACTCATGCCCGAGTCGTTAAAATGACCTCTGGATGGATTTCCCGGCTTCCAGCTTCTTTCCGTCCAAACATCCCTCAGAACTAAACTTAGCGAAGCTTCACTCCCTCCATGCCTAGGAGCCTGCAGTGAACCCCATGACCTAACGCCAGACAGGACGATGTTCTCCGAGAGCCCCCCGCACCGCCCCTGACCAGAGTCGTCTCCGTCCCGACCCTTTTCCTCTCTCCTCTCTCTTCTCCCGACACATCTTCTCAGCCAGCCCAGCGGTAGCATCTTTGCTGTAGGAATTCTGTGCTGCGTCCCCTTCCTGCCCTGGCCAGTCACCATGTTTCTCTGCAGGTGCAGTGGCCCAGAGTCGCCTTCCCTGTTAGTCCACATTCTGCTCCAGGCTCCCCGTGGAGCAGTGCAGACTCGTCCCCCCCGCCCCCAACATCCAGGCGCCAGAGTCTGGGGCCTGTGTCATCGTCCGGCAGCACCTGCGTCAGCCAGGTCCCTGTGTCCCCAGGCTCAGCACCGTGGCGGAGGCCACGTGTGTCTCCCATTGTTGGTGCCAGTTACGGCTGTAAGATGCTCAGTCGCTCAGGGTGGGGATCCACATGTGTTTATGACGGGCCTGCCGGAGCCAGTGTAGGTGCTCGATAAAAATGGAATAAAAACATGCAAATGGGAGCAATAAAATTATAAAATAACAATAGCTTGTTCCTTGCCCACTGGTCCAGTCAGTGGCTGGTTGCATAGCTAGCATGTGCCCAGCGCTCCGGCTGGTGAGGCGTGGCTGGGTCATGACGGCGTCAGTCACGTACCCATGGCCTCTGCTGTCTCGGGACCTGTCACGTGGTGCAGACAGCTAAGGCGGAGAGGAGGCTCTGTCTGAAGGGCCTTGTGACAGGCCTTGTGGGCTGAAAGGCAGGAGAAAGGGGAGAATCGGTGAAGAACTGGACTCCAGAGAAAGTTTCTTGAAGGTCTTCAGTCTTGAACTGGACCTTGACATTGGGGACTTGGATTTCCGTACAAAGGCTAGTCCCACACTGCAGGGGTGGGTGACAGTGAGCCAGTTCCTTCCGGCACAGGGACTGGAAGTGCCTGCTGGGATAGGCGAGGGCTTGGCCGACACGGGAGGATGGGGGCGGAGGGACGGGAGAGGCGGGCGGCTGATCTCAGGAGAACGAAATGCAGGGCACCTACACGCAGATCCCCGCAAGGCACCTCGTCTGACGTCAGCGCTCATAAATATTAGCACATCAGACATTAATTATGTAGTCCCTCTATCTGTGAAATGACTTTTACTCATTTTCTCAGATGACGATTAATCTAATAACGTTTCTCTGAATGTCAGGCTTAGCCCTCCCTGAAATTTTTTACAGTACTCTTTGTAACAAGTAAGCAATCTTACCTCATAACTATATCAAGAAAGTCAGCTACCAGAAAATTCTATGTCAGGTGTGTGCATGTGTGTCCATGACTAAATGTCACTGTGTTTTCAAGTCCGTAAGTCAGTGTACATGTGAGATGTGTCTGTTCTCCCCACATGTATCTATATCACCATATAGGTGTGTATTTATATGTATATAAATGGGCTCCACGCAGACAGCAACAGAGAATTCATCAGTGACTCATCGACTACTTTGGACTCCCTGCAACTATCGCAAGTTTTTTCTTTTCCAAAGACAGGAGCGTGGCGCCCCCCACTGACACTGCAGCATCTGGTGGCGGCCACACACCCTGTGTCTGGGAGGTGACTTCCTTCCAGGGAGCCGACCGGTCTTCTGTTCTCACCCCCTCGCCGAGCGCACTGATGCCTCGGACCGCGTCCCCCGACTCCTTCGGTGTGGTCGGCTCGTCTTCCTGCCTGTGCCTCAGTGCAGGGCAGCGGCCTGCTGTCCCCACACTCGATTCTTAGTAGCACCACTCCGTGTCACCAGGAGGACGGGCCTCCCTCTTGGGACCGAGAGCCACTGCCGCCGCCGAGCCCGCCGTCACCTCGCACACCATTCTTAGTGACGGCAGGGGCAAGGTGGGCTGTCGTGTCCTCTGTTTTGTGGGGCGTGTCCCCCGTGCCCCACGCGTTGGACCTCTGAAGCCTTCCCTCATGCAGTGGGCGCCTGCGTCTGCCCGGGGGTTCAGCTCATACCACGGCCTCTGCCGAGTTTTTCGTGTCCTGCCGACCTGCTCCGCGTACCAGGACGCTGTCACTGGAGTGTGGGGCAGCGATGCTCGGCGGATTGTCAGGATGGTGTAGGTTCTTCCCGGCCGTGCTTAGCAGGAGCACAAAACCGTGTCAGCCGAGTGTGAGAGAGAACAACTGGAGCCGTCCATCTGACAACAGGGGGAGGGAAGAGCCGGCGCTCGGACCAGCCTGTGCACCAGGCTCCTGACCTTCCTGCCCCGACACCGAGGCTGTGGTCCGGGTACCGGCGGCTCTGACCTCCAGGTTTACTTCTTCCACAGGGTGTTGGCCAAGCTTCCTTTTTAGCCCGGCGACATAAAGGAACATTTTTAGTGATGGTCTCCTACCTTCTCCCATGTTTCCACGTGTTGGTAGCAGATCGGAGGTCTCTTCGGGCTTGATCGACCGTGTCGCAAAAGTCGGAATGGACGGCATGTTGCACCGGCCCCGGCGGGGGAGGAGCAGGGCGAGGGTAGCAGCCCTGCCGAGTCACAGGGTGAACGAACTGTGTGTGAGCCGCGTTACTCTTGCGTCAGAAGCAGGGAAGTGTTATGTTTCATCGTCTTCCGGGGGAATTGTTACAAGGGCAAAGGACTGTGCAGAGCACAGTCCAGGCTCAACTGCAAAGGGCCCCGAAAGGGCGTCAGCGGGTTCAGATGCGGGGCGCGGAAGCACATTAACCTGCTTAGGGACACTAGCTCAGGCGAAGCTGGACATCGCCCTGGAGATGCACAGCTGATCGGTAAATCTGTTAATGTACAACATATATGATTAGGAAAATGATGTTCTGTATAGTTAATGGAGTGCTTCCAATTCTTAAGACAGGGCCCTGGTGAGCACGGGCTCCGTGCTCCGCAGCCTGGCAGGCTTGCTCAGTGTCCCACAGCATGCGTGGCCTCTTGCGTGTGGCAAGTCTCACAGGAAATGTCTGTCCTCGCCTCTGCAGGAGTCCCATCCTGGTGTTCCAGTGCGACTCCCGCCATGTGATCTGCCTGGACTGCTTCCACCTCTACTGCGTGACCAGGCTGAACGACCGGCAGTTCATGCACGACCCGCAGCTCGGCTACTCTCTGCCTTGTGTGGGTAAGTCTTGCGTGCCCCCCGCCCCATTCACTGCTGACCTAGCACCAGAGGAAAGCTGCCAAGGTAAGGGTGTGTTAGAGACACCCAGTCCCTTGCTGAGGGGTGAAAATTCAAATATCTATTTGATCATCACTGAGCAAGAGACATTTATGTTTGGATCACAAAAAATACAAAATGCTAAGGTATGAAAGAACTGTGTTGAACTAGCAAATGCAAAACCTGCAGACAGGCAGTGGAAATAGAATTTGCAATATTATTCAGCCAAGGTACATAAAATGTGTCTAGGGACTCACCCTGCAAGTTATAGATTGATTAGTCTGGAGCAGCGCTATTAAATCGTCCACACCTATCGCTACAAATTCTGAGCACATGTACATGTGTGCGAAAGAACACGTACTAAAAAGAAATTAAGGAAGAAGGAGCTAAAGCTAAACTATTGAAGATGTGAAATGGGTTTTAAATCTTTCGACATTTACAAAACATCTTTAACTTGCACTTTATTGTATTTTTTAATTGAGGTGAAGTTCAACATAATACACAATTAAGCATTTTAAAGTGTGCAATTCAGTGGCACCTTGTGCATTAACAGTGCAACGCAGGGACCACGCGGCTCTCTCTCGTTTCAAAACGTTTTTACTGCCCAGAAAACTAGCCCACACCCCCATCCTCCCATCCACGGCAACCACTGTGGTCTGTTTCGGAGGATTTTTCAATTCTGGGCATGTCCTGTAAAAGGGATCAGGCAAATGTAGCCTCTAGTGGCCTTTAGTATATTTTTATTTCACTCAGAATAAGGCTTTTGAAGTTCATCCAAGTCATGGGATGTATCTTCATTCCTTTTAATGGCTGAATAATATTCCACTGAATGGCTATACCGCATCTGTTTATCCATTCATTTGTTGGTGGGCGTTGGCGTTGTTTTACCTTTTGGCTGTTATGGATAATTCCGGGTCATATCGTAATCCTGTGTTTAACCCTTTGAAAAGCTACAAAATGGTTTTACGCAGCTGCAAGCATCCTACTAAGTGTGAAGCAGCATCTTATTGTGGTTTTGATTTGCATTTCCTTAATGACCGATAATGTTGAGCATCTTCTCATAGGCTTGCTTGCCATCTGACTGTGTATTTGGAGAAATGCCTATTCAAGTCCCGTGTGCATTTTTAACTGGGCGATTTGTCTTGCTGAGTAGTAGGCATTCTTCATGTGTTCTGGACACGGCCCCCTATCAGATACGTGTTTTCTAAACGTTTCTCTTCTTCTGTGGGTTGGTGATAATGTCCCTTGATACACAAAAGTGTTTAATTTTGATTAAGTTTAATTTATCTGTTTCTTTTTTCTGTTGCTGTTTGTGCTTTTGGTGTCAAGTGTAAGAATTCATTGCCAAATCCAAGGTCATGAAAATTTACCCCTATGTTTCCATTGAATAGCTTATCTCTTGTATTTAGGTCATTGATCTAGTTTGAGTTAATTTTTCTTCGTGAAGTGCATAAGGGTCCACACCTCATTATACATTTGTTTTTGATGGCTGTAGTGTGCATAGATAGATTTCATTGATTTTGAAAACTGTGGTTGGGAACTATGTGCTTATATTGATAAAATGGTCAGGTTTTACGTTCAATGTATTTCAATGCTTAGTTTTATTGCCATTCATAGCTGAAAAATATACCTCAAAATTACTTCCAAGATCTGAATGGAAGTAGCTTGTTGCATTGCTGACTTTGTAAAGTAGGATCATTTTTCCAGTGTATCTGCCAGTAATACAATGGTCTTTAAATTAAGATTTACATAATGTAGGTGTCAATGTATCATTAAGGGCAACTCATTGGATGGTACGTGCGTCTATGTTTTTAACAAATGGGCTCAAATATCAGTGAAACACTGATTTTTATTTGAAGTTTGGAAGATTTTATTTCTATTTTTAATTTTTAATGAGTTTTTTTCATTGATAAACCTTTTCCCTTCACAAAACCAGATAACACAGAAACATTTAGAAACATCCATTTCCAAATTTTCACTTCATAAGCAAGTAATTTTTTTTAAAAAATCACTTTATTTTTCATTTATTTAAAAAAGTTAAAGCTTTTTAATTATAGAACATTTTGGACACACTAAGTAAAGAAAAACAGTAAATAACCGCATTCGGGACACATTCGTCAGGCTTTCTAGTGCCACAGGATGTCCCGGGCTTTCTCTCTCAAATTCTTTCTCATTCACCTGGAATCTGCCCTGTTCCTGGTGCTTAGCAGTCCCGTCTTGGTGCGTGGTGGGCTTGGGCAACATGCTTTCAAAAAGTGAGCATAACCACAATATCAGTGGTGTACTCACATTTGCAGTTCAAGCTCAGGGTTAAGGAATTTTTTGCTTAAAGTCACTAATCTTACAACAGTTGCTGCATCTTAGCAAAAATCCTGTTCCGAAGTGACGTCTGCATGTTCACTTGTGTATGTCACAACACACACCCAACAGCACCTGCATTAGGACGCCGCCGCCACCCACAGCGCAGTCACTGAGGGCCCTTGGTTTCACCATCAGGCTGTGTCCCCAGAGGGAGTGAGGGTCACGGTACACTTATGTCCCCAATCACATACATATTTATTTTTCTTCAAACTGCTTTTCAGATTTAGTTTGTTGCCCTAATTAGGCAGCCTGCTGACAGAAGTCCAAGTCAAAGCTCTAAAACAAGCTCTGTGAACAGAAATGAGCTTTCATTCCCATGCACTTCAAAGTCCTTTTCTCCTGCCGTGGGTAAACCATTGTTTGGAAAATCCCCCACCTCAAAAAAGCGGGAACAAATCACCCGCGCCGTAGATGCTGGTGCAGGTCTGCGCCATCGCCTGCTGCAGTGGAAGGCTGAACGCCATGTGTGCTTTTCTCCACCTTGCTTTCCCCGCTCCATTGTATTCTGCTCCCCAGTAACGCAGGGGTAGCACCTTCACTGAAGAGAGTTCCTCATAGAATTCCACTAGGCACGGGCACATGGCTTACGTGTCCCTTACTGGTGAGCACTTAGTGTTCTCGTTTCTTGTGACAAATATTCCTGCTGCTAAGACTCGCGTGCACAATCTTCCCGCAGTTCTCTCGGAACAGCGTGGAGGTGGAGCGTGGGGAGCCGTTACTGCAGCAAAGGGGAAGAGTGTATGTAGTCCAGCTCCCTCTCCACAGCCGGGCACGTCTCCTTCCCCCCACGGCAGTGCCCCCGACCCCGTCTCACCAACAGAGCAGTTAAAAGACCAGGATTGTCCCCTCGCCCCTCTTATATTTGAGAAGTGGTATTTCCAGGTAGTTCTTTTTATGAACAAGGTTGAGCACCTTTGAAAGGTTTCAGTTCCTTTTGCACTTCTTTTTTCTCATTCATTTTAAAAATACCACCTTTTCCCTGAGGTTAAGTGAGTAAGTTGAATATATTTTTTTGGAAAGTACTTTCTGTATAACACGCTACAGTCACAGGAAAGGTTGACAATGTTGAATCACTTACATTTGTATGAAGAATGTATGTGAACTCGGTTTAATTTTGCTGGATTTTTTGTTTGCCACGAGGTAACAGCCTCTCTGTGAAACAAAAGATTTGCATGATCAAACTCTGCATCTAATTAAAATGCATTATGTCTATAGATTCAAATGGAGCATAGTTAGAAGTACCTTTTTAAAAGCGATTTCTTTCCATTACCCTTGTCAAGGACGTCCTCAGAACTGCGTGCCCTCCTGGGTTTACCGTCTTTGTCTTAACAGTGAGTGAAGCAGGGAATGAATAAATTTTTAAGTATGCTGTTTTGTATTTTTTTTCCTTTGGAATCCTTTTAAATGGGTTCTTGCAAACACGCCTTCCTCACTGCTGGCTACTTAAACAATGTGTTATGAAGCCGTGCTTGTTTTTAAAGTGACACTTACTATGGAGCCCTTCCCTGCTTGACACCTCTTTCCCTCTTTCCCTTCCACAAGTGGAAGGTGACCCACTTCCCCATTTCATTCTTAGAAAAGAGCATAGCCCATGGCCGGGGGCTGAGGCCGGCCCCTCACCGCTGCAGTGACCCTCCTGCACCGCATAATTCCTTCACTCCATCCGATTTCTTCACATTTCAACAACATTTTAATACATGCAGTAGCCGCCCTTATCCACGGCTTCGCTTTTCGAGGTTTCCATTATTCCCAGCCAACCAGAAAATAGTCAGTGGAAAATTTTCAGAAATGAACAATTCCTGGAATTTAGACCGTGCACCGTCTGAGCACCGTGATGAGCTCTCACGCTCCCCACGTTGTCCTGTTAGGGGGTCAGTCATCCCTTCGTCCAGGGTGTCCACGCCACGTGTCACCAGCCATTCAGTGGTCACTGAGTAGCTGCTGGTGGCATCTCAGTGCCTGTGCTCAAGTCACCCTTGTTTTGCTTAACGGTGTCCCCAGAGCAAGGGCAGTGACGCTGGCACTTCACACATGCCACAGGGAAGCCTCAAAGTGCGTCCCTGAAGTGAAAAGGTGAGGACGGGACGACGAGAGAGTTTGAGAGAGAGAAGCCCAACTTATGAATTAAACTTCGTCACAGGTCTGTATGTATAAAAAAATCATAGTGGCTCGGTGGTGTCTGCGTTTTAGGCCCCCCCCAGGGGCCTTGGAACATGTCCCCATGGGTGGGGGGACCACTGTGTTCCCAAAGCACCTACTCAGAACAGAATGGAGTTGTCACGACATTGTTCCTACTATGACTCAGGTGTGTTTTCCCCATACCACGTGAAAAGAGACTTCCAAATGTCATAGAATTTTTTGTGAAAACAACCTGAATTGGGTTGAGTCTTTGCTCATTTGCTACTTGCTGGATTCCTGAGTGCCTTGCTAAGTGGAATGGCTTCCCACCCAACTTGGTTTATACTTCAGGGAGAGGGAGACAGTCAGGGAGAACGGCCCTCAGGTCGTCGGTGCCACTGCCGTTCTCTCCCTCTCTCTCCCTCTCTCGGCTCATACTTGCTCAGTCACTGCTGTGAATTAATGGTTTCTTCGCAGGAACCCGA